TTGACCCCTATTTAGAACCAAGCTATAAGATATTTACAATATGTGGTACAGCAACAAAATAATACTGATCCTGCAATTCACAATTTTCTGTTAACACTTTACGCCACACAGCCAACTCGTGATGAAGCTGCTTTATTACAATTTTTGGCAACAGAGGTGATAATCAATATTAATATTAATATGAATTAAATTAAATTCAATATAAATAATATAATTATATGTAATTGTTAGGGAAAAGAACCATACTACAATATGGATTATGCATTAAGACTTTGTAGTCAAAATGGAAGAATGCAAAGTTGTGTACATATTTATAGAAATATGAAACTTTATGAAGAAGCAGTTGATCTGGCATTAAAGGTGTGAATGGATTTATGTTGTAGTTAAAATCAGAATCGGATAGATATGAATTAAACAAGAAATAATTTTTTTAGGATAATGATTTGGAACTTGCTGCAATCAATGCTGAAAAACCAGAAGGAGACGAAGAATTAAGGAAAAAACTTTGGCTAAAAATAGCTAGACATGTAGTAGAGAAAAAACGAGATATAAAAACGTAAATATTTTTTTTACCAATACAGCGATATTAATAATTTAGATTAGTATGCTATTTAATATCTATTTTAAACCATACATACATTTATTTAATTATATTAAATTTGCTGTATAGTGCAATGAACTATCTACAAAATAGTGATATACTTAAGATCGAAGATATATTACCGTTCTTTCCCGATTTTGTTCTTATTGACGATTTTAAGGTATTTTAATTGATTATTATTTATTGTCATTATTATAATTAAAATAAATAATAATGATTTCAATTTACAATAGAGTGAAATATGTTCGGCACTTAAAAAATATAATGCAAATATTGATGAATTAAAAAGAGATATGGATGAAGCAACTAAAAGTGCCGAAGGTATTAGATTAGATATACGAGAATTACGATGTCGGTATGTCTAAAATATATTATTTATTTATAAATTTTTTTTAGGCGTTTTATTTTTTCTTTTATTTTTATTGAATCAAATTTTATTTATATAAAAAGATTTGCAGTTGTATCAACGGCAGAAAAATGTTCACTATGCGATTATCCATTATTAACAAGACAATTCTATATATTTCCATGTCAACATGCTTTTCATGCAGACTGTCTAATAAACAAAGTAATTAATTAATTAGCCATTATTGTTGATTTAATTAATATTACTATTATTGAATTTTGTATTTATTTATTTTTAGGCGGAAAAACATCTTAATGCACGTCAATTACAAAGAGTTTTAAAATTACAAGAACTAATAGCCAAAGAAATATCAAAACCATCACAAGATGTAGTAGCACATGTAAAACCAACCACTGCAACAGGAGGTCTGGATCGAATAAAAGGTTTGATATTACCAGAAACTACAGCTCACACTGGAGACGACGTTGCAGTTGTTGTGCCTAAGGTAGATCAATTAAAGGATGAATTAGATGATTTGGTTGCATCTGAATGTATTCTTTGTGGTGATCTGATGATTAAAACAATCGAGCAACCTTTTATTAATGGAGAAGAAGGCGATTTGCTTGCGTCTTGGGCCATTTAAAAAATATTATTTCCTTAAATGTTTCCCAAAGAAAAAAAATCTTCATCTTATTATAATTTATTATGTATATTTTAGGGTGGGTTATTAAACAATATTAATATATTAATTTTTATTTAATAAACGGCAAAATAAATAATTTATTTTTTTTCGTAACTATATAACATGGGGCATACTGCTTACTTTTTCATTTTTTCACCTTCACTTGATTGTTCTGGTTTAATTTGATTTGTTGAATTTCACTTTCTAATTTTCGAGTTCGGACTACATTTTGTTCCTAAATTAATTCAGGTTTTTACTTTTCTAATTCAGTATAACTTTATACTGAAGCTACCGGATAAGTATTCGCTGTTCAAGATTATTTTCTTTATCTTCATTTAAATATTTTAGTTGCCGTTTTAATTGAACAATATCATCCTCTAGTTCTCAAATATTGAAAGAATAGGAAATACCAATTATAGAAAGGTGGCCAAGTCAGTTTTCTGGCCTAAATCCAATTGAATTAATTGGAGGCTCGTTTTCGAAAAATACTAAATTAGTAAAAAATTTAAAGGAATTAGAGACATTTTAATTGAAAATGTTTACTTGAAATTAGTTGAAGACATGTCCCCCGCAAAATTGAGACATATTTAATAACAGGTTTGTTGTTTAACATTTTAATTAATAATAAAAATCATCACTTTTATCGTCGTTACCATCTTTTTTACTCTTCACCCCTTTACTATTTTCCATATTAACACATTTTTGAATTTTTATTGTTTTTTTCTAGGTTGTTTTTCGTGAAAGTGGCAATCTTGCAGATATTAAATGAAAAATCCAAGTCTTATTTATCAATAAGCGTTTAAAAATTTTCAGCCTTTTCAATTATTTTTTATTACTAATGATTAGCTAGCTTGTTTATATTTTTTCGGGCTCTAGTGCATTCATTATTTCACCAATTCTTTGGTTTATAAGTTCCTGTAAGTTTTATAACAAAGAGAAAAGCCCCAATAAACATTTCGTAAAAAAGAATTTAGGATTATTGTTGATTTATACAAAGATTTGAATGTGCGAGATTCATGCTCAATATAGTAAAGTGTATTCAATATATTATTTTGTTCTCTGCTTAATTTCAATGTCAGGCTGAGAGTAGTTAGTTTATTATAATCCCGGTTCGCTTCATTTTTTTCTGAATTCAAATTAATTTTCTCGTCATCCATTAAAGTAATAATGATTTTGGCCCAAAGGAGGGAGACCAATTCAAAACTTTCAGAGAACCCTCCTCTTCTATTGTTTGACAGATTTTTATGTATTCTCCCCCAATTTTCCCATTATAGTCACTAAATTCGATTTTAACTTGTCAATTTTGCTAATTCCTTTAAATGATGTGATCAGTCATATTGTAAGTTTATTCGAAGTAAATGTTGTAATAAAATTAGTAATGTCAGCAGGCTAAGGTTTTTTCAACAGCCGATATCACTAAATATAACCCGAAGAATTTGTAAGCATCAAAGCAAAAATAGGATCCAAACATTACATACAGAGATCATAAAAAGTTTCCAAAATTTATTTATAAATACAAACTGAAATTAAAACCTGGTGGAAACAATTAAAAATCCGCTGCGCAGTCGGTTCAACGAAAAAAAAAAAAATTGAAAGTTTGTTGTGTCGGTTTTGCAAGTAATGAGAGCGAATGAGAGTACAATAAAATGTTGCAAAGATAGTGATGTTAATCGATAGAAAAACTTTAGCCGGTTAAGCCGATAAATTTCTTAGCCGGGTAACACTACTATTGAAAGAATCACAAATTTAATAAATTATCTATACTAATAATACACATAACTAATAAGAGCTGACAGGACTGTTGTGACCCTTGATAGTACTAGAGTAAGATGTGTTGACTTTTAATTGCAAATTATTAATTATTTGATGTGCATCCAATCCTTGTTTTGCTTTACAATATTGAGATTATACATAAAGTTGAAATTAAAACCCAAAAGTCTAAATATTTTGACCTGAGAGGTCAAAAGTTGAATTAAAAGTTGAAATGGTCGAAATTACATCATACAACAGGCACATACAGAAAAGTTTATTAAAAGCTTCAAATTGTCACAACTTGGTCAATATCCGGCTGTTTTGGATAAAACAACTATCATTCGAATTTCTCTCGATGAGGTGAGTCTAATAATATGTAATTCATAAAATCTGGATCACTGATTATTGAGATATTTTGGTTTAACACACATCTTACAATAACTCACCATTTATTGATGATGCAAAGTATAAAACACCATTATTTGAATCCTCTTTATAAGACTATTCTAATGAGTTGTGTTTCATTAAATTTGGATCACTGGTTCTCAAGATAATTGTAAATCATGTGATATAATTCTGATCTCCTGAAATTAAATTATGTAAGCAGATTTTGATTTTTCGCCACAGAAATTCATCATCCTGATTGAAATGATTATCTCTATATATCTAGCATGGTGGAAGTTTGATTAATTTTTTATATTGTGCAACGTAACTTTACAATACACGGCAAACATTCTGACATTAAAAAGTAAATGATAAACAGCATTTGAATTGGATCTGAACTTGATCTCCAATTTAGAGAGGCAACAACAAAATAAATTATTTTTCATGATTATCAATTATGAATAATAAATCTGATGTTGATCACAGGGGTCAGATTAATTAAAATTTCCTATCACAAACAAGGTATAAGGTGCTTTTACACCTCCTCGTAACTATAGGATTTTTTCCCACAGTTGAGGTAATACAAACATGTTGGAAGGCTTTGGACAAAACTTTCACTATCTCCCTCTCAGACCAGGCTTGGCTGTCACCATATGGGCATTAATTACTGATAGCTGGTGCTTGTGTGTTGATTGCTGCATGTTATACACCTCAAGTACAAAGTTGGCACCTGCAACTGGTTGAAAATTCTGCAACTCAGGAGGTTGCAACCTGGATTGCTGCTTTGGATTTTCCCTGAATTCAGAGTTTTGAGTCCTGGGTTGTTGTAATTTTTATGAAAAGAAAAGTATTAATATTTAACAATTAATTATTTAATTGTTTATTTTGTTGAAAAAAATATACATTGATAGTGTACATTAACATCCATGTGGCCCTAAGTCTGGACAAAAGATCCCTTTCTATAAGTTTGGCTGGTATATCCCAAAGGCATCCCCTGTCTTGTCAGTGGCATGCCTACTCACCAACAGCCCTACCCCCATTTACTAAAATAACAAATTCAGTTGGTCAGATAAAAATTAAAGAGAAGCAGAAAATTTGGGAAAATGATTAATTTATAACAAAACATACCAAACAAAATCCGAACCATTTTATAACTTTTTCCTTGTTGGCCATATTGCTGACAAAGATGTATATAATTGTGCAATAATTTTAACCTACAGGACAGAGAACTGATTGGGCAAAAACCCAATCCAGTCCCCTACCCAAAATTATAAATTTGTTAGTTAATATCAGAGAAACAGAGCATTTAGGAAAATGATTATACAAAACAAACACTATTTTACAACTTCTCCCTTAACATCAGAGTCCAAATACAATTTCAGGGCCACCAACCCCGCTCTGGACTGTGACCTCCTGTGCTTGAAATGAGTTGCAGGTTCTTGTTGCTTTGATGGATCTGGATATTTACATGGCACTACAACTTGTCAGCAGAGTTGTGACTTGGTCACAGTGCCATCCTTGCCCTAGAGGTAGGATCATTGCAAGTAACTTTTCATCCAACATGGCAGCAACCATCTCTGGTCTGGGTACTGTGAGAAAAAATTAGTGAAAGTGTCATTGACGATTGGCGCAGTCTTGATGTAGCTCCAGGGCCATGCCCCACCCCCTGGAATTTGTTGCATCATTGTATACATTGGAGGGAGCAAGTCAGATTAGCCTTATGTACACAAGGAAGATGTGAATGACTGTAAAGTGTTCAAGGTAGTGTGTGTGCTTCAACACTTGCCAATTTCTGATAATCAAACATTGCATATTTGAAATGTTTCTTTTTCAACAGTGTGCTGCCTTGACATCTTCTTGTAATTATAATAATATTTATAATAACAATGATCTGCTCCACGTTTTGATTTCCAATTAAAATATTAAAATATTTATATAAAATAAAAATACACCACATACATATCAATACAAGTAAAAAATAGTACCTCTGGTTAATTATTAACATGCTTTCTTTAGGAGACCAAAACCAAACCAAACAACAACACTCACGTTTTGTCACCTTGGACTCTGTCAAAAAATAATTTGTTTTTTTGTTTTTCCAAAAAAAAAAAAAAAAAAAAAAAAATCAATTCGCGTCTGTCCTACCAAAAAAAAGCCAATAGGATAAATAATTAATGTGTGCGCGTCAATCAATTAACAAACTTTTATTAAAAAAATTTTTTTAAAAATGTCCAATTACAAAATTTGAGAAGAAAAACCACTGATCGTGAAAATATTTCTGGGTAAGTGTTTTAAGGATGGTGGTGGTGGTTATCGCCCGCCACTTGTCGTTACTCTAGTTAATAATGTTAAGAATGGATGAAATACTATAGATTAAAACTTTACATTTGCTCATATTTATACTTCTTAGATTCTTGCTTAATGAGACTAATACTACAATCGAACAGAAACATATTAATATCAGAAATGGCATAATAAATAATTTATTAGAAATTCACGATAAGGAACGCGTACCCATCATCCCAGCTAACATAATAACAGAATTAGACAAATGCATAAAAATTACATCGGGTAAGCTTCATAATTTAATAAGAAAAATCAACGAAAACGCGTTTATAAAACAGAAAAATCGTATTAATGATCCATATTAACTACACAGAATGGATAGGCAATGTCAACGATGATAATGATAACAACGATAATGATAATATAGGTGACATTGACAACGATGTTGACGACGACAATATAGAAGACAACAATGTCGTTGACGATAATAATATTAATGTAGTTGGCAACAATGTTGGCAATGATATCGATGACAACAATGTAGACGACAACAATGTCGTTGACAATAGTAATATCAATAAAGATAATATACCAATTATGTAATTATGTAACAAGATTATATGATTTTTTTTTCTTCAGTTCTTTGTTAATAATATTCTTTTAACAACAAAGATCAATCATCGTCAAAAGTTACTGGTAGTGGTAGAGACAAAAGTCTTGGAAAAGGAGGTGCTAAACGTCATCGTAAGATCATTCGAGATAATGTTCAAGGAATAACTAAACCAGCGATTAGAAGACTTGCTCGTCGAGGAGGCGTGAAACGTATTTCTGGTCTCGTTTATGAGGAAACTCGTGGTGTATTTGTTTCTTGAAAATGTAATTAGGGTATGTAACAATAATAATAAACAAATAATAATTAATAATAATAACACTGACTTGCTTTTTTGTTATGAATCACCTTTTATTATCTTTTAGGATGTGGTAACTTACACGGAAAATGCAAATCGTAAAACAGTCATGTCTTTGGATGTCGGTGAGTATATCTTATTATTAACACATATGTGCTGCAATACATTAATTATCTTTTGATCAATAACTGGTTAAATAATTAATTAATTAATTAATTTAAACAACAAGTCTATGCGCTTAAACGTCAAGGACACACTCTTTATGGTTTCGGTGGTTAAAAGTGACCCAAAAAGGAAATATATATAGTTTGTCTCTTTTCTTTATCATTACTATTACCTAAAATTAATTTTAATTAGTTAATATTAAAAAAAATCGAGGACAATGATGAATTCGAACATTTCTTTTAATGTATTTAATAACAATACTCGTTATAGCTAACTTCAGAAATTACTCAAGGTATATCAATAAGATTAAAATCACCCATATATCCATCAATATCATCATCTAATATCCTGCTTAAATGATGTGTTAATGGACATAATCTTTGTAATGGTTGTGAATTGTTATTGGTACAAGTAACTGAATTACTTGTAGTAAAAATTATAGGTTCACTATTTAAATCTTCATTTTGTAAAGACCCTTTAAATAATAATTATGAGAAAAATCAAGAAGGCATCTAATAGTTGGTCTTTTAGATGGGTCAGCATCCCAACATTTTCCCATCATTTATACATATTAATATTCCTTTGGCATATTTGATAAAATTTGTGGTCGTGAACCTTCCTTCATGTATGTCTTTAATTAAACAATGATTATGAATTCTATCATTAAACAAATGGAATCTCTTTTAAAGATGAAAAATTCAATGGACCATTATTAATGTAAATATCACTTGTGTTTGATAATGCATCATTATATATTCCATTGTAAGTTTTAATTACAAATTCTTGTCTGTCTAGTGAAAGCAAACTTTCATATGACATTTATTGTTTGTTTGTTATTATTTATTATTTTTAATGATGAAAAAGGGCTAATTGCGTCACATGATTTTTTAATTCGACCACATGTATAGTCTGAATGTCTTTTAGAGGCTCTTGAAGTGGCTAGGCAATGGAGAGAGAACATCAAATGTTTGAAACAGTTTTGGAGCATAATGCAGCAATGGACAAACTCTTAGACAATGGATTTATTGGAAAATAATTTGGTTGCCAAGAATCAGGAAATAAACTGAAGAGATTATTTAGAAAACAAAGAACTACCAGCTCTGCCAAAACAGCAAAAAGAAAATAGATTGTGAAAGTTCAAGCAATTAGTAAGTAAAGTAAAGGAAAAAATTAAAGAGAAGTTCCAGGCTTTTATTGTTCAAAAGAATATGTAGATCAATATGAGATTAGAATATAGAGTTCTGGAAATAGCCCAAAGAGATGAACAAGAGTGTAATTTCTGTTTTCTAAATTTTGATGACCCAACTCTCCTTAATTTTGATACTGCTCCTGCTACTCATCAAATGGTGGCTTGTAATATTCCTGATGGTTACTCTGATATAGTTTTTGTTTTTGTTTGTAAGGATTGTAAAAAAGATTATGATAATAATACGCTTTCATTATGTGAGAAATGTGGTAGGTTAAAAAGGAATAGAAACAGATGCTTTTGTGGTCATTTAAAAGCTAAATCAACTAATCCACTTTCTGATAAAGAATTACTCTTGCAAGTCTTCAGTTTTTGCTTAGAAAATAAAACTAGAGAACTAGAAAAAGAGTTATCAATTACCAAAGAAGAATTAGAAACTGAAAGAGAAGAAGTAGCCAAATTTCAGGAAAAATCTGAAGAGTGAAGTAAAAAGCAAAAACAGGAATTATTAGATAAGGTAAAGGGTTTAGAAGAAAG